AAACTCAACATGTCCAAAACAAAACTCATTACCTTTCACCCTAAACCTTCCCAACCCCCTTCTCTATTGCTGCATAGGGCAACACCATCCTCCCAATCCATAAGGTTGGCAAGCTAGGAGTCATTCTGAATTCCAGGTCTTACTGTTATATTCAATCTGTTGCCAAGGCCTGTCAACTTCACCTTTATAACGTCTCTCAAATATGTCCCTTTCTCTCCTCTGATGGTGCCATTCTAGCACAGGCTCTCATCACCACATGTCTACACTACTGCAATAGCCTGCTGATGGGTCTGCCTGCTTCAAGTCTCTCCCCACTCCAATCCATTCTCCATTCAGCTCCTAAAGTGATTTCTTTAAAATGGAGGTCTGATCACATCATCCCCTACTCAATAAACTCCCTATCACCTCCAGGATCAAATACAAAATCCTCTCTCTGGAGTTCTCTTTTAGAGCCCTTTGTAACCTAGACCCTTCCTACCTTTCAGTCTTCTTATACTTTTTTTCCCTGCCACATATTCTTCAATCCAGTGACACTGGCTTTGTCTGTTCTGGAACAAGACACTCCATCTATTGGCTCCCGGAATTTTCTCTGGCCCATCCCTGAAACGCTCTCCCTCCTCATCTGTCCCTACTGATTTCCCTGGCTTCCTTTAAGTCCCAACTAAAATTTCATCTTTCACAGGAAGTCTTTTCCAACACCTCTTAATTGCAGTGTATTCCCTGTCTTAATTATTTCTTATCTATCCTGTAGGTTGTTTGTACACATTTGTTTATTGTCTCCATTAGACTGTAAGCTCCTTGAGGGCAAGGATCATCTTTTGCCTCTTTTTGTATCTCTAGTGTTTAGCATAGTGCCACAAACACAGTAAGCACTTAAATATTTATTGACTGATCTTAAAAGACATCCACATATACATAAACTAAATGCAATCATTCAAGTCCAAAGGATAATTTCATAAAATCTAAATAGCTACTGTACAGAAATGGACATTAGCTTCTAACACATACAATTTACTCCAAACACTTCAAAAACAAAGTTTCATCAATGTGAGCACTCCACCCACCAATTTAAACTACATCTTATCCATGCCATGTTACATGGGTAGCCAGAAGAATTCAGCCCCTTGTGAGCAACGTTCTAGGAATTCATGTTCCTTCTAACTTGGCCAGGTTAGGCCCATAATCAAAGCCTTTCCAACTTAGAAGGACCTGCCAGACTCTGAGGTCTGCTGACAAGTTTCTGATAATTAAAAATTACTGACTTCATGCACCAAGATATATCAGAAGTCATCTCCAGTAGAGGAAAATACAGATAAGTTCTGGTCCTAAAACCATATTATACAAGACACTGACTTCTATGGTCATGGACCTCCTCTAGTTTAAGGTTTCAGAACCTAACCAACTTTCAACAATGATAATGTTTCAAAGTTTGGGCTAGTTTTCATAATAAAGTAACTGGCTTATCTATATCATGTTTTGTAATGACTGTGGTGATACTTATGCATCAATAAAAAATTTGACTGGAAAAAGTTATTTTCTTATAGATTTTTATAGAAAATACCCAAGAAGTTACATTTCTACTGCTTCTTTTAAATAGTTAGCATTTATAGAGTAAATATGGAAATTTTCAAAATTAATCAATTAATACTTGGAAATCAATCACTAGCATTATAGAAAGTATCACTATTACTTGATAAACTCTAACTTAATATGTCGAATCTTTTCCATGAATCTATAGCTCAATACTTATAGAAGACCTGGCAGACAATGTAGGAAGACTCAGAAATCACCAAAGAAGAAAAAAGTAGACTAAAGATTCTTCTATTTCAATGAAAAAAAACAACCCAACAACAAGAACTTATCATCCCCCTTCTCTAAATTCTAAAAGTAGTTACTTGAACATATTTTCTTGGATCAATTCCTGCCAAGTTGGTGTATTTCCTTAGGTTTATCCATTTTTGAAAACAAAGAAAAAGTACAGAATGTATTTTACTTATATTCCCTCCTGTGCATTTAACATTAGTATATTAACCTTATGCAATTTGTTAAGCCCTAAAATTTATAAAGTTTCTAAGCCATGTTTGTAATAATTTCCTAATTTTAAAATGCTATTTGATTCCTAAGCATTAACTGGATTGTTTTTATCATCAACATTCATCTAGCAATTAAGTTGTGAAAGTGTTGGGAGACAAAGAATAAACAAAAAGAAACAATGATGAAGCTTATGGTAGCATATACTAGGGACAACTTAATAGTAAAGACAGTGTTACATAAGCTCAAAATCAGTTGGTTTGGGGGGCATACAAAAAAGAAAAAAAGAAATACAACAAAATTACATCCTTGTTCTAGCTAAAAAAAAAAATCAAACTGTGGAGTGAAATCACTAATGAACTCTATTAATGGAACTTACAGTGGATTTACTCTTGACATACGAAATTTGAGGCCATTGATAAATTTTAAATGTCCCTTTTTGTGCAGAACGACAAGTTGTCACCTTCTGCGAAATCACTCCCAAACAAGAAAGAATAAGCTAACAGAAAGAAACAATGAAATGGAGACATCTATCTCATATCCACACACTACCTGCTGTAGAACTGGAACTTGTTTTGGAGCCCACTAGGCACATTTATAAAGTCATTACATACATGAATTAGCGAATAACACTCCTTGGGAACTTAGTCAAAAATCGCCCTTAAAAAGCACTGGTGAAAAGATAATTACTAGTTGCATAATCAGGTGCAAGTGACTTAACCTAAGCTTTTGTTTCCTCATCTGCAAAATGAGGATTAACAATACTTATACTTGTAGGGAAAGTACTTTTCAAACCATACAAAGTCCAACAGAACTATTATTCCTACTTAAGAGATTTCAAGCTCTGACCACTTCTCACCTGGACTACTGCAAAGGTTTTCTAATTGGTCTCCTTGTCTCTCCACACTCCAATTCAATCTTCCACTCAGCAGCCCAGGTGATTTTCCTAAAGCACAAGTCTCACTATGTCACCTTCCTAGCTCAAGGAATGCCAATAGCTCCCTATCACCTCCAGGATCAAATATAAACTCCTCTGTTTGGCATTTAAAGTGTTCATAAAGGGTCCCTCTCCTTTCTTTTTGGCACTCTTACACTTTATTCCCCTCCACGCCTGTACTAAGTGATGCAGAGACATCTACAACCTACTTGCTTTTCCTTGCAGAAGACACCTCATCTGACATCACTGTGCCTTTTCCTGGCTGTCCGTCATGGATCTCCACCACACTATCTACTTCCTTGTCTTCCTTGAGACTCAGATCAAATCCCTCTTACTGTCTTCTTCTTAGTCCTAGTACTCTTCTCTCTCCTTCTGCCCTCAAGTTGCTCCTGCCTTCCCCTCCAGAGATTTCCTCTACCTATTTCTGTATAAACCATGTTATTTTCCCCCCATTCCCTTAAAATGTTAACTTCCTGAAGGCAGGGGCTATTTTTGCTTTTGTAACCTTAATGCTTAGTATACAGTGCCTGGCATGTAGTAAACTTTCAAAATTATTCAACTGACTCTTTGTTGACACTTAATAGCTGTGTGACCCCTGGCAAATCACTCAACCTATCTATTTCAATTTCAATTGTAAAATGGGGATAATAATTGCACCTACTTCCCAGAGTTGTCACAAGGTCTTAGCACAGTGCCTGGCACATAGTAGTTCCCATATAAATGCCTGTTCCCTTCCCTCCCCTCTCCTATTTAAGATCAGAACAGAAAACAACTATGAGAAGAATTCGAGGAGTTAAATTTGACATTCTATTCTGGAAGATAAATTATAGCCATTTTACTCAGGTCTCAAATCACAATACAAGCATCTTTCACCATAAACAAGGTAAGATATGGTTGTGGAAATTTAGCTGCATGTGACATGTCTGGGGTTAGTACTGAAGACAGTCAGCTGGTTAAAGCATTCCATGTTTCAGTAATAGTGAGACTAATTTCTATCTTAAAATACTTCTTAAATCTATAATGTTTTAAATAGCTGAATTAACAACGTGATGCGAAATTTCATTAGGCTCTGATATTCTTGGGTGTGAAAATTACATCACTTTCCAACAAGGTAACCATTACTAATAGCCCTTTTTTTCTTTTTGGAGCATCTCTGTTTATTCAGGATGTCATGTGAAGCTTGTGAAGTTGTGAACTTTGTGGCTGCTGAAGTCTGCAAAAAAATTGGCAACAACTTTCACATTCAGAGGTCTGCCAATAAAGAGTATATTTAACTTGCATGCAAAAAGTGTGGCAAACCAAGCACAACAGCCCAGTAATTCTTTGTAAAGACAACTCTATTTCCCCACTACACACCTCCCCAAAGCACGGATTACAAGGCTATGTTTTGTTGAAGGATCTCTTTCCAAGCAACCTATAACACAGTGGGAGATCTTCAAATTTTAAAGAAATCCTAATTAATCTTTTCATATTTCAAATGAGAAAAATATCACAGCAATGCAGCAAAGTCATTTCTCCGGCTGAAATGACCTCCAACTTCTGTGGGCTAGTCCCTCTTTCGCAATAAACGAATCTGACACCCAAACCACGTAGACACTCAGAGTGGAAACTGACACTGCTAAATCTCAAAGAACAGTCCTTATCAAAATCCACCTGACTCCCGTCATCTCTCCCGGGCCCTTTTCCTGGTTCCCTTCCACACCCCTTCTTGGTAATGGAGTTAAACACCAGCAGCTCCGGTCGTTACAATGTTATTTTTTCCTAACAACAGCCACTGTCACATACCACCCACAAGTGCTGCTAACCTGATTTCAAGGGAAATTAGGAGTGAAATATTAGGAAAAGGGAGAGCTGCATACATTATATTCGTTGGTAAGGCTGATCCATTTGCTTAGCTAACAGCTCGATAAGAATTTTGCAAAAGGTAATTTAAAGGAGTTATTTCCACTTCCAAATCGCCCACCAACCTCCCAACTGCCAGGGCTACCAGCAAGCACAGTCAAAGCAATTCAGGAAATAAGGAACGTCTTACCTTGTACAAATATCGACATTTTGGGGGTTTAATAAAATAAATACTCTGTAGTATAAATATAATTATGTGTATATGTATATAAAATTTTTTTCAACAAGTCACACTCTAGAGCAGGTTTTTCTTCTTCTCCTGCTTAAAAATTCGACGTGGTCTTTCCACCCACAGTTGACAACTTGGAGGAATAGCAATTCAAAGCAATAAAGAGTAGTTCTTTAAAAAAAAAAAGTACACCAGTGGGAATTACTCCTTTTCCACTTAAAAAAAAAAAAGGCAAGTCGGTGGATGGAGTCCGCTTTTACCCGGTACAGCCTTACAGAGCGCTCCAGATCTAAACGAGAGCCAGCTGGAGACCCAAGTTAAAGGTAAAACCCCTCGAATTTAAATTTCATCAATGAAAGAGGCGGATCTGCGGCGGCTTCACCGCCCCCTTGTTCCCCCCACCCCCCGAGGGTGGGATTGCCGCAGGACCGACGGCGGCTTCCTCCGCCTCCTCCCTCTCCAGCCTCCGGCCAATGGGCAGGTTCCCCGGGAAACCCTCCGGTAAACATCGCACTCTCAGCCCCCTCCCCAAGCCCGGGTGGGGGGAAGAGCGCGTGAAGGCACGTCCAGGGCATCTCCCCGGCGCACAAGCCCCGCGCGTGATCGGGGCGGCCCCCGCCGGCCCGGGCCTCGTCCGCCCTGGGGGGGGCCTCTTCCCCGCCCCTCTACGGGAGGGGGGCACGAGAAGCCCACGTGAGTTATAGAAAGTGGTCGGCCCCCTACCCCGGCAGGGGAAGGACGAGGGGAGGAGAGAGGAGAAGGAGCGGCCCCTTCTCCTCCCTTCCCCCAGAATCCCCAGCTTCCAACCCCCGGGCGAGGCCCAGGCCAGCGCGAGAATCGGGCGGGGGGGAGGGTCTCCAAGGACAAACCCTCCTTCCTCGCCCCTCCTGGGCGCGGCCGCCCAGACCCACCTTCCTCCACTCTTCAGGCCTCCGGGCTAGGGGATGCGAATGGTGCCCTGGGGAGAAGACTGTGCACTGGCAGGGAGGATGTGTCCTCTCGGAGGCGCCCTCTTCTTCTTCTTCCTCTTCTTCCTCCTCCTCCTCCTCCTCCTCCCGCCCCCCAAGCCCGGCTCCGCGGAGCAAGCGCCACCTCCCGCCCCGAATTTTGGCCAAGCAGCTATGGCGGCGGCGACCCCGTCCCCCCGTTTCCACCCCCCCATCTCCGGAACTCTCCACACACCCCACTCCCGTCCCCCCAGTACCCCCCGATAGGCTCCCCTCCCCCTCCGTGCACCCCTCCCCGCAACCCCACCTCAATGCGGAAATGTTCCGGCAGCTCTAGACTGACAGCCGGCGCCCCCCAGTCAGAAGCCAGAGCAGGCGCGGGAGCTGGCCAATGAGCGGGGCGGAAGGGGCGGGAGCCTTTGCTGGGGCAACAGAGCGCAGCGCAGGCCTGGGTGGGGCGGGGGCGGGGCCTGGGCCTGGGAGTCGGCCCCTCCCAGTAAAGGAGAGAGAGGCCCAAGGATCTCCTCCGTTCCCCACTCCGGGCCTTCCTGCTAGTACCGTTTCCAGCCCTAACCTCTCTCACTTGATCTACTGTCTTTCATTAGAGGCTCCTAGGGCTGGGATCTCTTAGACCACCTAGTCTTAATACTCCACCCCCATTTTATAGATGAAGACACTGAGGTTTAAGCGAGTAGCCAAAGGTTACAAAAGCAAGAAAGATCAGAGGATGAAACTCGAACCCAAGTCCTCCTTCCACCAAATGGCCCGCTCCCCGCTGGCCATCTCCACCTGGAGGTCCAGCTTATGAACTAGAACCACCTTACCGCCTCCACCGGCCTCTCCTCCACACTTCGCGAGATCTGCCGAAGGCGAGGCCATCCTGCAGCCCTGGGAGCTGGCCCTGGAGCTGGACCTGGAAGAGCTTCTATACTGTTCCCTCTTCCTCATCCCCCAGCTTCCAATCACCGTCTTCGGCATGGTCCCGTGAGAAGAGGAGGGTTCGCATGAAGCCCTCCCTGCCTCTGCCACCTGGTCGAGTCACCGAGCCTCAGTTCCCTCAGCTGTAAAATGAAGTGGTTAAACCAGATCTCCTTCCAGTCCAAATCCACAGTCCTTTGTCTTCTCATTTCCTCCTCCTATAATCCCCTTCTCTCCACCCCCTAGAGGTTATCCTTGTTCTGACCATCAGCCCCTCTCCCTAGGACCACTGAAATGTCATTCCCTCCTCCAAATTATCTTTCACAGAACTGTGAAAATGTCTTTCTAAGGTACAGGTCTGACCGTGTCACTCTCTGGTTCAAGCATCATCAGTGGCTCCCTATTGTGTTTAGGACAAGGGTCCTTAACCTGGGTTAGATTTAAGGGCGTCTGTGAAAAGATTACATCTTTTATTTCAATATAGTTGCTTTTCCTTTGTAATCCTATCTAATTTGTTTCTTACATTTTAAACATTCTTCTGAGTAGGGGTCTATAGACGAAGCCTATAGGCAATCTCTATCTATCTATCTATCTATCTATCTATCTATCTATCTATCTATCTATCTATCTATCTCTACCCATCCATCCACACAAATACACACATATCCTATAGATAACAGGGGTGCAAAGCCTGTAGGCAATATTTATCTGTACACACCACACATCCCATAGGCAACAGGGACTTGAAGCCTTGTTTTTATGTTTATACACACACACACACACACACACATATATCTATATCTATCTAGCTATCCTATAGCTCTTGCATTCCTGTTGCCTATAGGATGTGTATATGTGTAGAGCCTATAGGCTTTGCACCTCACATATATATACATATATATATGTATATATAGTGTATACAGAGGGCCTATAGGCTTCACATCACACATATATAGTGCTTACAGGCTTTTGCAATGCACACACACACACACACACACGCACACACACACAGAATGCTTATAGCTTTGCATGACAGACAGACATCGAGTGCTTATAGGCTCTGGTATTCCTGTTGCCTAGAGAAACACCCCAGTCACAATGGTCCAGGATACAAAGAAAGCTTAAGAAGTGCAATACAAACTCTTCAACCCTTCACTGTGTGGTTCTGGACTACCTTTCTCGACTTCTTTCGCGTTGCTCCAGAGCTCTTTCACCTGCTTATGTTCTGGTCCCTCTGGCGGACTTGCTGTTTCCACCTCCAGCTCCCCTGCTGTTGTACAGGCTGCAGCGCTCTGGGATGTGCTCCTCACTCACCTCCTGCCTCTAGAACCCTTGGCTTCCTCCAGGGTCATGTCAAGTGCCACCTCCTGTGGGAAGCCTTTATGGATTCCCCTGTTGGTAGTTCTTGTACCTTCTCTCTGTCTCTGTCTCTCTCTCCCTCTCTCTCTCTCCCTCTCTTACCTCAGATTATACTGCATTCATTAATCTGTTTAAAATGTGTGGCTGCCAGTAGAACATAAGCTATTTGAGGTCAGGAACTTTTTCCCCCCCTAAATCTCCCTATCTTACAAGACGTAGGCCTTTCATAAATCTTGGCTTCCTACTATTTTCTCTCTTTTTTTCTTTCTTGTGGTTTTTTCCCTTTTGTTCTGATTCTTCTTTCCCAACATGACTGATGTGGAAATATGTTTAATATGATTGTACACAGTTAGCCTATATCAGATTGCATGGTGTCTTGGGGAGGGAGGGAGAGAGAAAAAATTCTGGAACTCAAAATCTTGTAAAAGTGAATGTGGAAAACTATCTTTGCATGTAATTGGAAAAAAAATAAATACTATTAAGTGGGAAAATAAAATAAAATTTGGCTTCTTCTATCGGGGGGGGGGGGGGGGGCAGGGAACACTGCAAAACAAAGGAGGACAATCTTCACCTGGAAATGCAAGCAAAAGATAGCCTGAAGCAAGAGCGTTTGGATTTGTAACTTATAAAAAAGTCCTGACTCTTTTGTGCTTAGAGGAAGAAGAATGGTTCCAGGGTGGGGAACCTGCAGCCTTGAGGCCACATTTTGGTCAAAAGGCTGCACTTAAGGATCTAGAAGGTCACTATGGCCTTGAGGCCCCAGGTTTCCCACCCCTGGGTTAGACTATTATTATCCACGGGTAACTACCCCATGACAACACAGTGGCTCTAAAGGGGACTCTCTTTCCATCACTACCACTAGCCTGAAGAGAGTGAGGAGAAGAGAATGAGGATGAAGGAGATCAGTGCTTTAGGGCTAATAAAAAGTGGTTGCATTTTAGACTCTCAGAGAAAGTATAAGGTTGGTCAACTGTCGTTGCTCTTTACAAAGAAAGGCAAGAACAGAACCAGCAGTAAATAAAATTGTGTAGTAGGTGACCCTTGCCTCTGGTGCTTCGAACTTTCCTTCCCCCTGGGACACATCTCATGTCTACACTTCTGTCTTGCTCAAAGCTAGCTGTCACTAATGTCACTCTGATCCCCATATTTGCATTTAAATAAGAAATTCTTACAAATCCGAAAGAATGAGAACCTGGAACGTTAGAATTTCAAGCACCATGGCATGGGGTAAGGGAGATCTTTTTTGAACAACAATCCTGGCCAATGTGCATGCCATCATAACACAGTAGAAAGAGCCCTAGTCAGGGAGTTGGGCCTCAGATCAAATCCCATTTCAACAGTTACTAGTTGTGTGGGCTTGAAGAAGTCATTTAAACTCCTTGAGCCTGCTTCCTCGCCTGCAAAATGAAGACAGCACTTGTACTATTTGCCTCGCCCAGTTTTTGTGCAGCTCAAATGAGATGCCTGAAAGTATACAGAAACACATTGTAAACCTCTATATAAATAAATATTTGATATATAAATATCAGTTGTTATTCTGCTTTCCTTCTAAGACCAGCCCTGCCCATGAATATGAGTAGCTGTAGCCCATGCTTCAGATTTCACCAAACAGCTTGGTAAATGATACTGTCTACTCTAGAGTATAGGAGCCAAGAAATAATTCACATATGGGCCAGGAGAGCTATTGACACTCTGTCACAGTGCCTCAAGAAATCAGGGCAGCATCAGAAGTGTGGGACAGCTATGATTTAACTAGGGCAAAGTGGTGAGTTATGTTCAGCAAATTTAAAACTTGAATTGAAAAAGTGTGGGGGGGTAATCTTTAATTTTATAGTGCTAGATACTCTTTTTTTTCCTCTAGACCTGTAATTTCATCAGTATAGAGACCTCCCTGGATTAAAACTTCCTTTACCAATGCAGGTCAAAAATCCATTATAATTTATAGTCTTACAATTACCTGGAGGCACTAAATGATGAAGAAACTGGTCTAGGGTCACACAACCAGCATTTGGCAAATTTAGAACTTGAGCCCACATCTCCTTGACCCCAAGGCCTGACTGGGCCAAGCTGTTTCTTGCCAGGTACTTTTATTGAAATTTTGTTGGGGGGGGGAGAATACATACATGTATACATATACGTGTTATATATATATACACAGACACACATACATATATAGTAAAAAGTGCCAGTGATTGATTTGCTGAAAAATAGCCACTAGAATTAATAATATAATGTCAAATCCAAAAGAATTATACTCCAGGAAACTCTCATTCAGCTATAAATATGAATTTCTTAAATAGAACGAGAAAGCCTAAAATCAAAATGTCTCCATGGAATGACAAAGGAAGTTGCAGGATTTATGATGTCCTACAGATGGAGAGGAGATGTCCCTTGGAGCTTCCTGCATCCTTTATGTACCGTGGAGGGATGTAATTTAAAAAGAAGTAGTGCCAGTACAATTGAAACTTAGCACATAGTGTAAAAGGTGCAGAAAGAGACATACGTTTGTGGACGTGAACACTATGGATTCATTTTGGTTGTTACAAGTTTTTCTTTTCTTTTCTTTCTTTCTTTAGTAGACGGATGTGGGGTGATGAGTAAGGGAGGTTAGCAGTATGCCAGGAAAAAAAAAAGGAGCCATTGCAACATTTTTTAAAATGCACAGAAAAGAACAGAAAGAATCACGGACAAGCAGGACAATTTTGAAAGCCACATGTGGAATTTGTTACATACATACAGAAAAAAACAAACAGTATGGAATAGATATTCATGTTTTTATATACAATCCTCTTTTTTTGTTCTGCTATTTATATGGAAATGTTCTTTTTTTTTGGTGTTTAAGTCCAAAATTTAAAAAATAAAGAATCTGTCCACAATGAGGGCTTTGCAGCTATGGAAGTACTACAATGGTCCAGCCCACTTCTACTACCCAGGCCCAAGCGCTCCTCAGCAGTCATGGTGGACCAGTCTACCCACCACTAAGTAAAGCAGTCAGTTAAAAACACTTATCCCAAGCTATTTCTGATTGACAACATCTAATTTCCAAACCCCCAAATTTTGCAGTCTCTTTCTTGGATGTGGAAGTGGGGCATCTAGGTGTCACAGTGGATAAAGTCAGGAAGACTCATCTTCCTGAGTTCAAATCTGGCCTCAGAAGCTTATTAATTGTGTGACTCTGGGCAAATCACTTAATCTTGTTTGCCTCAATTTCCTCATCTGCAAAATTTCCTTCCTGGAGAAGGAAATGGCAAATGACTCCAGTATCTTTGCCAAGAAAACCTGAAATGGGGCCACAAAGAGCTAGACATGACTGAAACGACTGAAAAACAACAACTAATAAACTTGATGAGATTATTTTCCTGGAGGACAGCCTTCATGGAGATAGACACACACCCTATTCCCTTGCTGAAAAAGTGCAGGTAACCCCTCTGATGGGTCCCCAGTGACTAAGACCACCTTCCAAATGATTAGGGACAAAGAAGGAGGAGTGGACTGGACTGTTGTCCAAAGAATCCACATGATGGGAGAAAGTGGTCCGCAA